TTACCAAGATAACCCATAAGCCCACGACCCACACACGAAACCTTAATATTCCGAACATGCTCCCTCAATTCACCCCTCACCCAAACAGTCAAGAAAACCCCAACCATTTGCTTCCTCGCAACCAAAGAATATTCAGACCAATCAGTGGACCCCACAAAACCATTTTCCAAATGCAACATTGCACTCGGCGAATCCTCTGGCGAGTAATCACTCGGCCTTCGACTCGACGAATAATCACTTGGCCGGTGGCTCGAAGAGCAGTCGCTCGGCCGACAGTAACTCTGCCTTTGGCCAAAAATCACGCGGTCACAAACGCTGAGTCGTCTCTCCAAACGAGCCTCGTTGTTTTCCGAACAACAATGGTGTGGGGTTTGAAACGAGCGCCTGTGCATGAAAGTCGAGGCTTTGTGTCTGCTCGACCCCTCGAAATCGGCATTCCACTCGGCCACTGGGTCGGGGACTGGCGAAGGCGTGTGCTGAGTCGAGTTGTTGTTTAGCGTTCGTTTTATTAGGGAAAGCCACTTTTTGGCTGGCCCGTTGTCCTCCGAGCCCAATATGTTGCCCGCGTTTAAGGGAACTATTTCTTGAAAACTGAATGAGAAAAGTAACTAAATTTTTAGCATAATCTGATAATCTTCTCTGTTTTTTTCTTTTTTTCTTTTTTTTTTGGGAGTGAGAATTTTACCCGAGAACGTATATGTCGGATGGAGGAGCCGAGTGAAGCCAATCGTCTAAATTCATGTTGGTTTGAGGTGATTTTCCACCGACGTTCCACGTTGATACAAAGATGCTGCTTGAAAAAATTTGAGAATATTTTTACGAGCTTGAATAAAACAGCTGGATAAATGTGTATATGTATGAGATGATAAACCTGTAATTCTGGATGTTTAGAATCTGGGGGTGATCAAGATAAGCTCTGCCTCGTCTCGAACGAGAGTGCGAACGAGATAACGAGCGCTCCATGCCTTTTGCTCGATTTTCTGACAACAAAGTGCAATTAATAGTAGTGACATAAGGTGATATTAGAAAGCGGCATTCGAAAGTTTTACGAACCTGTTTTCGTTTTCTTGATTGTAGATGGTTCCCTCTCAGAGAAGCTGCTCCTCCATCTCCTATCACCTCCTAAGAGAAAATCGTTCGACAGCAATCGTTAAAAGAGTCGTGCATTATTCGTCAAAAGCCACAACTAATCAAAATCAACTTAAATCTAGTAATGCTGGCATAAGTTAACTACAGTTCAATAAACAAGTTAGAAAAAACAAAATTTACATGCTGAAACATGTGAAGTAGCACAATGCTGAAATAGAAAAGAACAAATTACAAAAAATATATATAATAATTTAGAGAAAGAAGGAAAAGAAAAACAGCTATTGTTTGATTGTTGGTTAGTCAAAAAGACAACCCCAAGAAAGACAAAAGGAGTGAATAACTAATAAGAATATAATTAAGAATTTTTTGGTTTCATTGGCATCTCAGCAGCCAATCATAGGCCTTAGTAGGAACTTCAAAAAACCTCTGTAGATGCTAAGAAATGACAAGTTCACCAGGAAAAAAAAAAGAAGCAAAAAACAACCTCGATTCAAATTTTACAGTACACATAATCGACTTGATGCAAAATTTCAAAACAAAAACCAATTAGAACTACAAAATACAAGATTCAAATACTCACCTCCATAAACAACATCATCAGCTTGTGTTTCCACACTTTTACACTTGTTATTGAACCATTTTCTGACCAGTTTCTTTGACCAGGAGAGCTTCACATAATGCCCAATAATTGTAATCATGTCAGCTTTTAACTGGAAAAAACTCCAATTTTTCGCCAAAAAGAAACAGTAGGAAAAAAAAAATGAATAACAAAAATATAAAAAATACCTTGCTGCTCTTGGAATTTTCATCTTTCATCGTTAACGCTTATTTCTTCATGCGCACTCTTTATACACACTTCACCCTTTTCCCCTCTTCCAAAAAGATGAGATTTTTATTCAAAATCAACTTCTGAAAAGGAAAGAAAAATCCCCCCAAGAGAAAATTCCTCCAATTACACGAACCCCTCTAAAGGCGCCATTGACAGTTTTCGTAAAATCTTACTCTTTTCCAGCAGCTAGTTTCTGGGCACGTCGAAAATTGATCGATCAAGATTCAAATTTTTTTTCCCTTAAATTGTTTTTTATGATCCTAAGAATTGTCCCAACACACTAAAATACGACAATTTGAGTAAAAAATGAGAGTAGGAAAAAAACGGAGTTCAGAAACCCAAAACGAGAATGACACAGAAAAAGTGACAAAAACGAACTTAAGAAGAAGACAATGCAAATATCAGAGAGAGAGAGAGAGAGAGAGAGAGAGAGTAGCAAAATAGTAAAATAGCTTGTCGAGCTCGAGCGGAATAAAGTGCAGGTGCAGCCATAACATAAGAACAGCACTCTCTCTCTCACACACACAACAATGTTGGTGTTTGTGTGTGTCTGCTATCTTTCTTTTAACCCAAGGCCCAAGGCCGGCCCAGCAGGACAAACAGGCAAACGGGCAGGTCGTTTTACCCGCGTTCAAGCCATGAAACGACGTCGTCAGCTGACTGGTGACCTGCCCAAGTCGGTGCAAAAGTGTGGAGATAGGATTTAAAACAAAAAAATACATAATTAAACTATTTAATGTTATACATTTGTTTTTATTATTTTTTACATTATGACATTATTTAATATGTATATATATATTTGTTACAAAAGTAGTGGTATGTACGTCGTGCGATGCATGAGTAACAATGATAGATCGTACAAATTAAGTAGAGAAGGAATATCGATTTGTAGAAATGAAGTGCAGTATAAAAGTATGTACATAGTGAATATATTCACGGCGTACCTCACTCCTTTATATAGGGAAATGATATATTGTTGCTCATGGCTGCCCGTTTGTACTGCACGAGCTGCCCTAACTGCCGATTCTGTTATGCTGCGTGGCCCTATCCACATGAGAGTTTATCCCTGTAATATTTCTTCTTATCCTTTAGTCTTCATCAATAAACGGTCTAACCGTGCGACTGACCCCAATTACTCCTCACATCCTTGATATCCTCTTCGGCCTGCGGCTCTTTCGACCTGCAGGGTCTTCCTTCTTCGTTCGACTTGATGTTTGACTTAGTCCGATTTGGTCATTTTTTCGGTCTACTCGACCTAGTGTGGTTATCCCATATTAAAATTATTATTAAATAAAAAATTTAAGTACATTTTGTACATGCAATATTAAATAATAAACTTATTAATACTTGAGAAATAATTCTTATATACACATACAGTATTACTATTAAATCGAAAATCTTAACTGAAAGTTAATTTAATATTAAATATAAAAAATGAATAACAAATAAAAATATTATTAATTTTTTAAAAAGAAAACGACATTATTACTTAATAGGAAAATTGGAAAAGACAAAAAAAAAATGAGATAACGAAATATTTGATTGTAATTTTTGAAAAGTTTGTTTTCCAAATTAATTAATTTATTAATCTACAATCATATCCATTAATTTATATTTTCTTAATTAAAATTATAAATTAGATAGAAACGGCGTAATTTATAATTTTTTTTTTGAAAGTTTAATCTCAAATGATGATTTGACTATACTAAAAATAAAAGGAAAAATAAATTATAAAGAAATAAATAAATGCTGACATTTTTTGAAAGGTTTATCAATATTGTATTTTGATCCATTATTGATATCACGTTGTCTAAAATAAAAATGAAAGTCTCATAACGTATGGCAAAGAATAAATTACCAAAACTAAATTAAAAAAAAGGTAAAAAAGAATAATTTTAAAAATAATTTTTTTATTTACTAACAAATTACTATTTTGGCGGAAAAACAGTACTATTTTAGGCAAATAACCATTTTTTATATGCACAGATTTATAGATGTTGCACTAAATCACATATGAGGTCATCTGATCGTTAGAAGAATCGATCCATCATACATTTTCAAACAATATATATTAATGTTATAAAATTTCATACATTTGTTTATCCTATTTTTTAGAATATAAAATATTAATTTTAAAGTATTCGTATATAATGAGAAAAAACACTGTTTAAAATACAAAATCTCAATCATATCGGACAACTCATTGATACAACGTTCACTCATTTTTATCTCATGTTATAATATGGATAAAAATTTTATTAAGAAACATATAAAAGTTAAAATTGAGTGTAGAACTTTCAAATTAACTAAAAAATTGATAAAACATAAAAATACTAAAAAAGTGAAAAAAATTGGTATTATCCCATAATTTGGCCAACACATGCATTTTGGTTAGAAGCGGTTACAATTTGACATTTTGGCAAAAGCAGTATTTAAAAGTTATCATATTGATCGAACAATCGGGTATATGATAATATCGTAATATAGACCAATATACAATACGGAATTTGAAACATTATGAAAAAAAATATGGTGGCCTATCCGTTTTAAGACTGCATAAGAGTAGACTTATAGCAGGTAAATATATACATGCATTTATTGATGTAGGATTATTTTCTCGTTTGTCAATTGCCATTTGGTCTCACAAGAAAAGAAAGCTTAAAAAGCAGTATTCAAGAAACTAATGTATAAAGATAAAGCTTCGTCCTTACAAGTAATAGTACGTACTATATATATAGTATCACTGCCATATCTTTTGTTTTTTAATTTCCTTTTGTTGTGTTGTTCTTTTTCGCTTTATACAATGTGTCTTCTTCTTTTCTTGGATTGTGGTGTTTGTTGTCTGTAAAAACTAAGGAATGGGAATGTTTTTTGAAGATTGAGTTGTCAATTGTTTGTTTGTACACACATACATACCATTCTCTCTCTCCCCCATCACATAGTTATTAAGGTTTGAAGTTTGACTAGGAATCAAAATCATTAATGTAGATTTTGTTGAGATAATTGAATATCTATACTTTTATAAATTGATATCATATGAGTGATCTTTTCCATTTATGTATTGATTTCATTCCTTTTGTGTATCTCGTACATGTCTAGTACAAGGGCATGCAGAATAAGCCCCGAGTTTATTTGGCGGCTTAATCTTTTTAAGAAATTTGGATTGCGGATTGACTATTATACCCAAAAAATGATTGGACCATAAAATAATGAAATTCTTGGACCAATGGCAATTTTTTTTGTAGTGTTACTCATATGTATTTATATATGTTTTATAAAAAAACAACTAACAATTTGAAAGAAGAAAGTTATGACTATCGTATATTAGTATTAATCAATTATGAGTATTAATCAAGTTATGTTTTTAAGTACAGAAGGTCAATTATTGAGTGCCCAAGCTTTGGCAGAAGGTTGAATTGCATGGTAAATTATTGAGTGCCCAATCTTTGGCTAAAGGTTAATTGCATGGTTGTTTGGAGCGCAATTGATTATGTGACAATTCTATAGCCGACACTAAATAACCGCGAAAGTGCTCAATCTTGGCCCCATAAACCTAGTCCATGAATAACTTAAGACTACCGTTAATTTCCGTGCAATGCACTGAGTGTACTACGAAAAATATTTCTTTATTTTGTTATAATGAAATTATTCAAAACAATATGCAATTTTATTCGCCCACAATATTCAATTCAATAATAATATGAAATTTATTTATTTACAATTATTATTATTTTCTATTTTTTAAAATTTTTCGTAGGTCTTGACTATTTAATGTATAAATTTTATTATTTGAAGGTAATAAAGTAGTACTCCCTCCATTTTGAAATATAAGGCATTTAAGGTTATTGCACAAATATTAAGGAGACATTAATTAATGAATAAATTGACTAAATTAACCTTATTTACCTTAATCACAACCACTCCACACTTCCTTAATTTCAACACAATGAGGTTATATTTGAAAAAAAATGTAAAAATTTGTCTTGATTTTTGAGCGCGCCTTATATTTCAAAAAAATTGAGAAATCTTTATACGCCTTATATTTCAAAATGGAGGGAGTAGTATAATATTTAAGATCATATATATTTGCATACAAATTACTTACGTGTACATATAAAATTGGCGATTATCATAGTCATATAACTTTTTCTACAATTCATAATTTGCACATTGCTTAATAATTGACTAACGTTTAACCCATAATATTTATATTCTTCTATTATAATTCTAAGTGCATGAAATGCTAAAAATTTTGATAATTCTATTTTAATTTTTAGTAACTTTAATCCTTATGCAACACAATTTTTCATGGTTATATTTATTATTTATATTTTAATATTTTTTATATCTATTTTTTTTCCAATCTATATAATGAGTTAATTAGTATCCATTCGATATTTAGATGTATTATATATTTCCATGATTACCAAGTCCTATAGTTTAAATTATGATATATGACTATTTTATTTACTTATTTTTATTTTTAAAATGGTATAAAAATTTAAATTTTATTTTTTTAAAACTTTAATAGTTTTCTAATGCACATAGATATTTCAAAGGTGAAATTTATAATTCTGAATTGAATTGACCACCAAATATTAATTTTAATAATATATTTAATTTTCAATAGTATTATCATTACAAATGATATATTCAATGGAGATTTACTTTTTTATGGTTAAGTTGACTACATTTTAGAAGATTTTATTGGTATTTTAAATTATTCATTAAGTTAGTATGATTCAAACGTAGTTATTCTGATTATTTCATTAAATATTTTAAGTACTTATGATCGGTTATTATAATTAATTAAATTAATATCTACAACTATATGTGATAATATATTTAATAAAATCAATTTTCATAATATTTTTTTTGAATTGTGTCAATAAATTCTATGAAATTAATATTAGGATCTCATTGAAAATATATATAATTAATCTACGGAAAAAATAATTGTATTAAAGTCAATATAGTTAATGAATATTAACCATTGAATACACAAAAATTAATTAATTTTTGTCATATATAAGACTAGTACAACACCCGTGTATTACACGGGTTCTTGTTAAAAAATTATTCTTAAATTTTAAATTAATGAGAAAAATTATTTTAATGTTTATTTACTTTTTTACAAAAAATATATGATTATATATTTTAGGATGACATTTGTTACTTGTGCGACTTACATGTGTTATATTATAGTAATTTTTATAACTTATATTATATAACTACTTGAAATATAAATATATTAATTGATAAATAATTTATTTTTCTAATTAATATTAAAAATAATTTTATTATTGTTATAAAGATAAATATAATTTTTTGTATACATACAATATGGATGTTACATCGAAGTTCATCAAGAGATGATTAATTTGATATATTATATATGTAAAAGTGATAAAAATATAAAAGTG